TAATGGGGCACTCACCGCAAAACTTACCTTTCGGATTTAAGAAACCGCAATGCTGGCGCGAATATTTTGACCTGTCCGAAGGTGATAGACAAAAGTTTCTCAAGCCAACGCTCTCCGAAGACGATGTCCTCACAATCGGTGAGTGCGTTTTGTACCCGAAGTGAAAATACGTTTTGTTCATATTTTTTGAATTACCTTTCACGTGCTCCGCGTTAGCTTTGCGTAAAGTGCGACCCATCCGATGCGCCCTTAGCCTACGGCGGTTTTCACAATGAACCGTAATTTGCAAAGTTAAGAATTGCCTGGTTAACCGGCCTCTCTGTTTGCAATGCCACCCTCTTTATTCGATCTTATGGCAACTCTCGCCAACATGGAACCCGAATAACCGAAGTCCAATTTTTGTGAATTGGGGGTCAACCTGCGTAGACGAGAACTTCCTGCCAGGTACAGCCATTTTGGCTATACCTATCTTTTTTCACGATAGCCTTTTCTTACCTATGTAATATAGTATATTCGGAAGAAGAAATTAGAAGCAATACTGTGCAGGCCTCCTTCACTATAATCTTGTCGTGCTCAAGTTAGTTGTCTTGCCGATGACGACGGCAGTTAGAAGCTATTTTTAATCCAGAACACAATAACGCCCCTGTTCAGCTTACCTTAAGTTTCGCATTTGGAAACGCGCCTGTTTGACACACAGTAAACGTCATAACCCTTTTATTTACCAAGCTGGGATTGTGGTTATGTGATTAAATAGGAAAATAAATCTTTCATGTAGATGTGGAATCTCAAGCTAATCATCGGGACTGCGATAACAGCGATTTGCCGGACATGGACACCGCCCCTTCCGAGAAAACATTGGAGCAATTGAGGGAAGAAAACATCGATCTGATCTGTCAACTAAATAAGTGCAGGTAATTTCTGGCCACCTTTGCTTATTAATGCTTGTTTTGACCTAAGAAAACTTTTGGTTGAAACTATTGACGGACCGTCATATCCTGACTACGCTGCTGGCGATCATAATGGTTCATTTCAATGTACCCTCGGCGGAGACGGCAATGCCCAGTTGCATCCATTCACTCCACCCTACTGTGGTCTTCCGGTGGCCATGCTTGCGTTACGTAAGTCATATACTTCTGTCCGTCTCGCTTATTTTTTGTTTAACACCGACCCCCTATCTCACGTTGTCTATAAGCCTTGTACGCAACGCCGTAACTAGCCTTGTTCGGTTTAGGATTAGAATTGCTGCTTACACGAGAAA